AATATTCATTACTGAAAATGTGTATTCATTGGTCTTGAGTAACGAAATTGAATTCATATTTTTCATCATTAGAATATAGGTGTTTTGAAATGTCATACACAAAATGCTACCATGCAGTACAGGCATATAAAAACATAAGCTGAGGAACAAAAAAGGGAAACAGTTAAAACATGGAAAAAATAAATGACTAAAAGATAAAAAGGTAATTAGTCAATAAAATTCATTTGAGTTCTCTGGACATTTAAAAAATTAACCTTTTATGCAGGATGTTATATCTGACAATTCAATCAATCAATCAATCATTTAGTTGGATATCATACAAATAATTTATCAAAAGGTTACATTTTTTTGTGTTAAGTCCAAAGAATACTTCTACTATTTCAGTAATTACTATCAGGGATGGAGCCAGGACTTGGCCAATGTGGGGCTGCTCACAAAAAAGCAATTTAGGGATTTGCAAGGCTTATGCTTATGTAATCAACATCACAGTAAAGAGTACAAACACTGAATCCCAGCATGATGGTGTCAAATTTATTTCTTGCAATATGTATTATTCTTATGTAATCAAAGTCCCACAAAATTGTAGAAATTACATTGAATTTCTTTTTCTCGCAGACGATTTGTGGTATTCTCCCTGACGGGGATGGGGATTGAAGGGGTAAAGGTGAGCTCTCTTTGACGGGGTACTGGCGGCCTCTCACGAATGTCACCCCATATTAATATATTTTTGTATGTTGAGTAACTGACTAAATAAATCCTCCAAATTATAAATTACATTTGATTATTAATTTGAGCTTTACTCAGGGCTGTAACCCTTTAGTAATTAGCATTGCTTTCCGTAAGAGTTCAGGAAGCATATGGGAAGCTGGGGGCTAACTGAAAGTCATTCCTGATGAAATACCAAATTGAGATGAGCTCCAACACAAGGTAAAGTAACTTATTCTTCCTGGACAAGGGTTAACATCTTTGACCTAATTAAATCCCTATGGACTACATGTTAATTGGCACAAGCTAATGGAGTAACGATGCTAGAGAAAGTATATGATTCAATATATATATATATATATATATATATATATATATATATATGTATATAAAATTTCGTTGAATAAATGTATATGTCTCAAATTATGTCAAAGTGTCCGGCGTTTATGTTAACAACTGCAGTGTTATTTTATATATATATATATATATATATATATGTATGATTACTTTCCCAATATTCTTTGTATTTATTTGGAAGTGGTTTGGCGCAGCAAAAACGGTTTTGTTTCCCAAACTCGAGGTCGGTGTTCTAATCCCTCGCTGTGCATTTCACTTGTGTCCTTGGGCAAAGCAGTATAAGTGGGTACCTGGTAGGGTTAAATGCTAATATGCACTGTTGTAGCTGCTGCAAAACTTGTGTTCCATAGGCTTTTAATCCAACGACCGGTGTAATGATAATGTGAAGAGCATAGAGGGCTTAACAATATGCGCTATATAAGTCTAGCATTATTATTATTATTATTATTTAATGTTGCTCCCAAAACCACACAGCACACAAAAACATAAAAGTTGCATCTTAAGCGTAGCACTCGCATGAGTCGTACGATGGTCATACGACTGTCGCATGACAAATCCAAATCCGCTCTCTGTGAGCGATAGACGACCCGACGCCGTTTGCTGATTGTCGGAGGCAGTCTGAACTGATCGTCATTAAAAAACGATCCGTTGCGCACATGTCGTTGTGTTGCGTTCTTTATAGAATCACGTCGGTCATGCGCTGTGAGTGCCCAGCTTTAAAGCATTGGATCAAATTAGCTGAAGAAAGTGAAGACAAATGATTAACAAAATTAAACTAATAATTAGTGCAGAAGGCTGGTAAGTATCTAAATTTGGTTACAGTACCTATAGATGGAAGAAAATGACAATCATAAAGCTGAGAAAGAAAATGCCAATGAGAAAACAATAGCTCACAGTGCAACATAAATAAACAGAAGAAAAGCTGGGACAGAATTAGTGTACAGTAAGCCTGATTAAACAAAAAAATAGATGAGTTAAGTTATATTACTTCTCAGCAGAACAAACTTGTAGAATGAATATGTAATATAATTTAAAATGGTGTGCTCACTCTCCAACATGGTAAAAATATAATGTATATTTTTATTTTCTGTCTTGTGAAAATAACCATACAGATATACTGATTCATATCATATGGCAAAATGATAATTGTAAGTTCCTCAGGGGGCAGGGGGGCTTAAGCCCCCATCGGTTTGGTCAAGCCCCCATTGGCCGAAACTCGTCAGGCAGTCGGACCAAAGAAAACAAAAAATAGGCCTAGTTTTCCCATCCCAGCTATTTTTGGCCATCAAGAAGTCCCAATTTTTTTGTTTAAATCCTGTTTTGGGAGGAGAGGACATCTCTCTCCCATACCCACCCCGGCTCGGGCCTTCGGCCCTCAGATAATGCTGCACACTATAGTTACACCCATAAATACTTAGCTCCGCCCCCAGTTGGACATTTGAGCCCCCCCCCCATAAAATATATCCTAAAGCCGCCACTGTGTTTGTCTGTTCTTATTTATTAATTTCATTTTTTATTTTTTTTTGTTTTATCTTTTTCTTTTTTCTTTGAAAAGGTGGCCAATTACTTGTACGAGCATAGCTCATGTTCTGTTCTCACCTCACTTGAATTCGCCCATTTATATTCTTTTGGTGAAAAAAATACTGAATATCATTGAGATGATGGTAGTGAAGAAATTGATGAAGGTGATTATGAATGAAGAAGAAGACAATGTGATGTTTATTAGGATGATGAGAATGAGAATGATAATGATGAGAATGATAATTATGAGAATGATAATGATGAGAATGAAAATGATGATGGCAATGATAATGACGATGGTGAGACTGATGATCGATGACGATGATGATAATGATAGTACTGATAACTATTGATAATAATTATGATCATGACAATAATGAGGATGAAGATGTCAACTATGTTTATGATGATGATGATGGTGGTATTGATGATGATTATGATGTTAATGATGATAAGGGCAAAGATAATTAGTACAAGGTATATGATCACGTTTATGATGATGATAATGCTAATGACAGGGAATTCTGGGTTTGCCTTTTAATGCAATTAAATTCTTTGAAGTGTTTGTTTTATAAGACCATATATTATGGTGATGACGATTAAGATATTGATTATAATAATATTGATTATAATAATATTGATGATAATGATTAAATTGTAGAAAATGTTACGTATGATAATATATTCGCATTCGTTAGAACCTCAAGATTAAATTTGACCCCAACCAAAATCCAAATATGTGCCACGTGCTTACATAGTGTACTTACATAACATATTACAGGTGAATTTATCAGGCTTAAAATCATAACTCTTCCTCATTCTATGGAATATAATACACAACAGAAAACAAAAATCAACTAAAAATATTGGAAACTAAATAAAAGAAAGGAAATAATCTAAAAGGATGACTTAAAAAGTAAATCTAAAAAAATGAATTAAAAAGTAACTTCAAAAAGAATCTGTGAGAAAATAATATTAAAATAAAAAGATTTAAAGTTAATGATGAGAATGATAATGATCAGAATGATAATGATGAGAATGAAAATGATGATGGCAATGATAATGACGATGGTGAGATTGATGATCGATGACGATGATGATAATGATAGTACTGATAACTATTAATAATAATTATGATCATGACAATAATGAGGATGAAGATGTCAACTATGTTTATGATGATGATGATGGTGGTTGTGGTGGTGGTATTGATGATGATTATGATGTTAATGATGATGAGGGCAAAGATAATTAGTACAAGGTATATGATCACGTTTATGATGATGATAATGCTAATGACAGGGAATTCTGGGTTTGCCTTTTAATGCAATTAAATTCTTCGAAGTGTTTGTTTTATAAGACCATATATTATGGTGATGACGATTAAGATATTGATTATAATAATATTGATTATAATAATATTGATGATAATGATTAAATTGTAGAAAATGTTACGTATGATAATATATTCGCATTCGTTAGAACCTCAAGATTAAATTTGACCCCAACCAGAATCCAAATATGTGCCACGTGCTTAAATAGTGTACTTACATAAAATATTACAGGTGAATTTATCAGGCTTAAAATCATAACTCTTCCTCATTCTATGGAATATAATACACAACAGAAAACAAAAATCAACTAAAAATAATGGAAACTAAATAAAAGAAAGGAAATAATCTAAAAGGATGACTTAAAAAGTAAATCTAAAAAAATGAATTAAAAAGTAACTTCAAAAAGAATCTGTGAGAAAATAATATTAAAATAAAAAGATTTAAAGTGTAAATGTGCATAATAAGTTCATGAAGAAAATAATGTATAAAAGCATGTGCCTGATGAATTTCTTGGGGAAGACACAAAAATATTGAAATACTATAGATATAGGAAAAAAATACACCAATGGGAGGAAACGAACACATTAGGATATTTAAGCAAACCGCTGTAAAATACTTGCTAACCACAACAAATTTTTAAAAAATTACATGACAATTAATAGCTTGTAAGATCATTTTCTCAATTAATAAGAAATATATATTGAAAGTTCATCGTTAAGGCCTTAGTCTGTCTCCGTTTGTTAACATCAAAGTGTATTTTCTGACCACAAGATTTTATGTTAGATGCTTAAAATGAGATTCCAATTATTAAGTAATTAATGCTGATGAACTTTCAATATTTTAGTTTAATGAAATTAAAGAGATTCAAGCAGGGAATAAATCTGAAATAAAAAATGCTAATGACAGACAGTTAAGCCCTGTCAGTGTCCAGACTATCAAATTTTATTTGAAAAAAAACCAAAAAAACTGTTGTATGCCCATATATAGTCATGATGTGCCTATATACGGTCATGATGTGCCCATATATAGTCATTATGTGCCCATATATAGTCATGATGTGCCTATATATGGTCATGATGTGATGTCACCATGACCATACTTAGACATGTCACATGTTTTTGTGAAATGAAATTTGGTAGTCCAAGGACAGGGCTTAGAACAGGATCTACATTCATAATAATTCTTCAATCTTCGAATATTCAGTGCAAATTATCACAAAATAACAACATGAATAATTCTGTACAAAAAAAACCCAAAAATAAACACTTTTCTTGCATTAATTACATGCAAACGTTTTCAAAAAGGAAAAAAAATAATGTTACTGTAAAAACCCAAAACATGCTTCTGAATTTAAAGGGTGCAAATATTGAGAAAAAAAGTATTCTCTCTTTACCCCAAGTCTTGTTAAATAATGTTGTAGCCAAAGCTATGGAATAATGATAAAGTGAAGGCATATCAAGCAACACATATGATTGCAATATATAGGCTGCAATCACATCATGATCGCAGCATCAAGTAGTACAAACATCAAATATAACTTAATAATCATTGTTAAATCATCTTCATAATCATCAAATCTTAATCTTTATCACCAATTTCATATCTTCTCCAATATCATCGTCATTATCATCATTATTTTTCCAACGATGTAATAATTAACGATCATATACCATACTTTAACATCTAGAGCCTGAATATAACTATGAAAAATTGATCCATAAAGATCATCAACAAATGGGAAAATTATAATCATTACATATTTTATCTATGGAAATGCCTGCAAGCTATATAAATGACAAACCAAGCCACAGAAAGACACATACATAAGAAAAAAATCTTATGTATATTGTGTATGTCACAAGAATAAACAAATTCATATTTGGTTATGATAATGATACAATATTTGTATGACAGGGTTGTACAGTACTGCAGGGTAAAGATCAGATTACACCTCATGATAGCTGGTCAGGATGACATCATGAATTAGATTTAAAGCATAAATAGATTTATATGGGAGGACTGTCAGAAATGGCAACTACTGTATATGAAACTCCATTATTATGCAAGTTATGAGGAGGCTTCAGATGAGCATTTGTTATTAGAATTTTGTCTGACTCAACAATGTTTGATTGGAGTCTCACCAGATTATGGACACCAATAGTACAAACTGTTAGTACAGGCCTGTCTGAAACAACCATACTATCAGACAAAAGTCTTAAAAAACATTTGTTTTGTTTAACAACTGGTATTGGGAGTGAAATTGTTTCTAGGTGTGAGAAAAATAATTTGAAGGATTTGATCTCCAGACCGTGGAATTGAGTCAGCGCATCAACCACAAACTGTTATATATCAGTTGAATATCAGTTGAATATCCTCAAAATGTCTGGGGAAGGAACATCACATTATCTAATGTTTAATATTCATTATTTCCAAAAAGTATCCTCAATAGAGTTTAGATATTGAAATCAATAAATCATATTGAGATACAATATGCTACCATTTCTCTTTCAAGGTTCAAGCCATAAAACTCATAAAAAAACCCATTAACCCATAAAAATGTCATTTATATATTTTTACTTCCCACGCCTTTTCCAAGCGCTAATCCGATATTTTTTAATTCAATGTTGCATTATGTCCTCTATTCATTGATTGGTTAATGAATCGAGAATTCCTACCATTTGGTTTTCAATGTCCTTGTTCTGTCCACTCATTCCATTTGATCGCTTCGAATTGTGCTTCCGCAAATTTTCAAATTGTTTTTCATAGCGTTCCTTCTCTTTTGATTTTCTGTAAAAAAAGTAGATTGACATTGTGATTTATTCAAATAATATTTATTCATTCTTTCTTTTGACTTGATAGCATTTTCAGTAACACAACACTGCTTTTCAACTAAAAACATGGCAAGATAACGACAAAAAGTTCAAATTGCAAATAACCTTAAAATAGAAATTTAAATTATAGTAAATTAGCACAAATGGCATTTTTTAAATTGACTATGGCCATATTAGTTGCATTTTTCCTGATTTCATTTGGTAGATTATTCTAAAGTTTGGCTGATCGGTATTGAAAAGCTTGTTTTCCTCGAGTATTTTCCCAGTTTGGAACTACTAAGGTTTTACTGCTTTTAGAAACAAATTTAAACATACTACAATCAAGAGCTGGATAGGGATTGTCATATCAGAGCATTCTGTTGAAAAAGAATTTACTTTAACAATATACAAATTGCAAGGTGTCAGGGGCAGATCTAGATATGTCCAAAAGATCGGGGCAGATAGGGACAACACAAAATTTTGTCTTCGATACACCCAAAAATAACATCTGAGGCATTTTTGGTGATCAATTATTATTTTTTTCTTTTTTCTTTTTTTCTACTATCCAGAAGGGGGTGCTGGGGCAGGCTCGGCCTCCTAAATCCGCCCTTGCATGTTTCAGAGCAGATTATTAGTATCACATACCAGAACAACATTTACAAATCGAAATTAATGTTATTATCAACTCACCTGTACCTCAGATAACATATCAGACAGAGCCCGATTGTAATCAGAAATGCAACAAAAATTACTGTCATGTAAACAATAACCTTCCTCTGATCCTCCTGACCTGCTGTTTAATAGATGATAACACAAAATTAATTACATTGAAAATGATACATTAGTAGCTGTCAAAAAGAGTAAATAGTTATTACATTACATGATGAATTGAATAAATTTATGGTAATACAATATAATATATCTAATTCATAATACAGTACAACATAATGCGTTGACAACATTAAAAATATTTATAACAAAAACTAAACTTTGTTAACATAACATTTATGCATATGCCAATAAAAATAATGAAAATAATAATAATAATAATAATACAACTAATTGTAAATATAATACCAATGATAATAACTACGCTACTAATGATTATAACTTGCTACTAATAGCAAGAGTTATACTAGTAGTATTATTCAAATTATAATAAAAACAAATTTTACCAACAAATATAATCATATATAATTGATGTGCTTTAAATTAAATAATAACACTTATAGTTAATATATATAAATTATAATTAAGCAATCACAGTCTCAAAGTGATTTTTCCCCAATCATCATATTCTGTATCCTGCACCTCCATCAAATTGATCCAGCAGTGCATTGTTCCAGGTCAATATGTTCAATGTAATAATAATAATAATAATAATGACAATAATAATAATAATAATAATAATAATAACAACAATAATAATAATAATACAAGTTTTAAATCAAGCAAAATATAACAGTAGTAATAATAAACACAATAACAATAAAACAATAAATAAAAATATTAAAAAATCACAATAAATGATGATGATCATGAAGCTGATGATGATGATGCTGATGCTGATTATGATAATGATAATATGAATTTTGATAATGAGAAAGCGGCATATAGCTAAATGAACTAATCTGATGATAATCATGATCTACGGAGAGCCTTTCAGAACATTGGCCTGAGATTCAATTTCACCCTACCTCTCCTTTTGTTTTTAATTGGAGGACTGACATACAAGCAATAATAGCGCAGCATCATTTAAGCCGCAGGTCCCGTAGGTAATTTGGCTCATTTGCATGTTAAAGAATACAAAAAACAGGTTATCATCTATAAGTGTACTGGATAATTCTCTTCAGAAGGACCAGCCCACAGGAACGAAGTTTCCAAATTTCGTGACTTATCATCCTTGGTGATTCACACTGATGCCAATGATGATGATGCTAATGATGATGTTGCTAATGATGATGATGACAATGAAGATGATACAGAAACTTTATTTGTCCAAAAAATTAAAATAGTTTTGTTGACAAGCTAAATAAAGACACATAACTTTCAATAAACAGTACATACATGATGATGATACGAACAATGATGATTGATCATGATGATGATATGAACAATGATGATGATGATGATGATTGATCATGATGATGATATGGACAATGATGATGATGATGATGATTGATCATGATGATGATATGGACAATGATGATGATCATGAATCATCATGATGATGATATGGAAAATGATGATGATCATGATTGATCATGATAATGATATGGACAATGATGATCATGATTGATCATGATGATGATATGGACAATGATAATGATGATGATTGATCATGATGATGATATAGACAATGATGATCATGATTGATCATGATTGATCTGATGATAATATGGACAATGATAATGATTGATCATGATGATGATATGGAAAATGATGATCATGATTGATCATGATGATGATATGGACAATGATAATCCTGATTGATCACGATGATGATATGGACAATGATAATGATCATGATTGATCATGATGATGATATGGACAATGATAATCCTGATTGATCATGATGATGATATGGACAATGATAAGGATGATGATTGATCATGATGATGATATGGAAAATGATGATCATGATTATATGGACAATGATGATCATGATTGATCATGATGATGATATGGACAATGATAATGATGATGATTGATGATCATGATGATGATATGGACAATGAAAATGATGATTGAACATGATGATGATATGGACTATGAAGATGATGATATGGACAATGATGATGATGATTGATCATGATGATGATATGGACAATGATGATGATGATTGATCATGATGATGATATGGACAATGATGACGATGATTGATCATGATGATGATATGGACGATGATGATGATGATTGATCATGATGATATGAACTATGAAGATGATGATTGATCATGATGAAGATTTTTGATTGACACATTGATATATTACTCCCTTTTCCATAATATTCATTCACTTTATATTTTAAGTGTTCAGATGTTTTCGAAGGGCAAGACAACTACTTCCTTCCCAGGATGCACAAGTACCAGAATATCAGTTGTTCTTGATGGATATGTCATTGGAGTAATTTATTTATCTATTGTCTATCATTTCCTATGATCAGAATTCTCTACGACTTCGCATTCAACAACAAATATTATGGTATACCAATAGTGTTACACTTTTTTTTCATTATTTAAAATGCTACCAAGAACTACAGAAATATTATAAATATTTATATATATGTTTGGCTTGTTAAAATGGGTAATGGGTATGTTGTTTAGACAAACAATAATAGCCCTGTCCTTAGATTTAGTAAGCAATTGGGCTGAATTTGGAGAAGGAACTGGCAACCTCTTAGTGACTGGATGAATTAGCTAAGCTTGAAGGGGGTTAGACCAAAATTGATGGCTGAGAAGGTAAGGTAGAAAATCACAGAGAATTTGCATAGTACACTCTTTCTACCAAAGCTTTTTTAGCATATTTAGGAATCCATGTTAAATGATATTATGTGCGATTATGGGAGAGGTAGAAAAAAAGCAAAATAATAGTCAACATTATTGTCTTTACTTATATTATTAGATTGTTAGTATTTTTTATTATTATTTTTTCATTAATTTTAAACAGAGATATAATAGTTGAATATACAATAGTTGTTCCATTAATTGAAGTACATATTGAATGTAATAATCAGTTAAATTCCGCCTTTTTCCTGTTAGATATTTTTAGATAAGCAATTTATTTAAAAATTTAAAATTATAATAATAATGGAAATGAATCATGAATATATTTATAAATGTAACTGAATTTATATAAATATTTATAGACGATATTATCATCAAATTCCATGCACTAAAATTATGATAAGTAATTCTATAAGCTACAAAATATGTAAAATATTTTCAAAAATTTTGGAACTATCCTAAGTATAGCTGCTAAACAGAGTTACGGTAATGCTTCCACACCATCAAGGTATACATGATTTATGTGAACTTCCATGTAAGGGCATAATGACATCTCACATCCATATATGGGTATGATAATCTCTCATCACATTCATAATTGGGCATGATGATGTCTCATCACATCCATATATAGGCATGATGATGTTTCATCACATATATGGGCAAGATGATGACATCACATCCATATATGGGCATGATAATGGCTCATCACATCTATACATGGGCATGATGTCTTATCACATTTATATATGGGATATATCTCATCACATCCATATATGGGCAAATAACAGGTTTGTCAAGTAAAATGTGATAGTGTGGATAGGGTTTTATATAGAAGAAATGCAGAATATCTATGCGAGGCTTTAAAGCTGGTATAGATTGCTTTCTATGCTAGGCTATGGCATGATGAATGATACTTAGCTAAATCATTGTCTTGTGTATAAGAAATGTCGTTAGCGGTATCATTATACTATGTATACTACATGATTGCTTTTCTTTAAAAGGGTTTTTCTTATTCTAGCTTATAAATATTGCCAATTTTCATATCAGGTTTCATGTTTATGAGTTTCATGGGGGAATTTTGTTACAGTTCTTCACTGAATTGCATAAAATATATTTTAACTTAGTTTTCTTTCATTCCTGATTTTTTTTAAAGTATCCATATCACAATATATATCAGGTTAAATAAAGTATAAATTTAAATATGTAAATAAAACAATATAAGGAAGTATTTTTTTTTACATATTGGCAAAATTGTTTAAATTAGATAGAAAGGAATTAAAAACAGATTATCTGAATTTTTACAATTTGGTAATTGAATCAAAATATTTAGAAAATAAAAAATTCTGCAAGTTTATAAACATTGTTGTATGCTATTTTTTTTTAAATTTACGTTTTTAGCCTAAAATTGCATACTATTAGCATTATTCAGCCTTTGTTTGATTAGTGATCAAAGTAGAGTATATTTTAAAATAAAAAAAACAACCAAATCCACAATGAGGTGGATCACACAAGGGGGTTTGAAAGGGAAAAAACATTATTAATGTTTATTTCAACAAAGCAATTCATGTAAAAGCTGGAAGAAGGATATGAATATTAAGATGATTCTAAAAGCTATTAAAGAAAATGAGAAAAGGGATAAAGAGAAGTTATCAAATCCGTAAGTATATTGCCATGAGTTTGAAGGAGTTCAGAAGGAAGAGAGCTTCAACTCTAGTGAATGAAGTATTTGTTAACGATGATTCAGCTTTGAAAATCAGACAAGAGAAGGGTCAGAGGTCACGCAGTTTCTTGGCCTGATTACTTACGATCAATACTTTTGGATGCCTTAACCAATTCACATCGTAAGCCCATAAAGTTTTTGAGACATCTGTAAGGAAAGGTGCAAGACAAGGTAAAACAAAACACATGAAAATAAAAGAATGCACTTTCCATGCACCAACTTACTTTGGCCTCTCGGGTTCACACCGCCATGATAATCAAATGGTACTAATAGCTCGCAACGGTTCCCGCCGTATGGTGAGGGACAACTGGAAACGACAGAGACAAACATTGCAGGCATCAGTGCACTAGCAATCAAATACGTCTAAAATGCATCGTGTTAATTGTTAACGAGTACTAATTATTAACGAGTTTAATAACTGTTAAGTTTGTTGTGAATTGCGTTAGTATAGTATATGTGAATGAGTTCACGGGGATCTCTTTCTAATAAAATTAGGTTATACTAATTTAAACATATCATACTGACACTGATAAGCCCATCCCTTATTGTGAAAAATTTAAATGTAGCCAATGTATACTGTAAATCATAGTCAATAAATAATTCAATACTATATTTGTTGTAATTTATTTCTGAGTGTACAATTCAAGGGCTCGGCTAACTGTTCATTTAAACTAATCAATAATTATATTACATCAGTAATTGTACTATCAATCATTAAGTGTGAAGTGAAATAATTGCAACCTTCACATCAAAATTTAATTTCTAATTCTTTCAGTTTATGATCTTTGATGTCATTTTGAGGTCAAGGGTGACTTATACCAGAGTCAGTACGACAATAACTAATGCAAGACCTGTTTTACCTGTGAACAAGAATTAGTAAAATATTAGTAATGTTCATGCAATTAATGGTGACTAACTGATACATAATAAATAATTCATCAGTTAATAATTCAATTAATCATTATTAAAATATCAAATAACAAAATATAAAAGGATTTTTATAGCATCATAACCACTTCAAACAGAGTGAGAGCTCACAGGACTTTCTGCAAAGAAAGCAAGTGTAAAAGTATGTTATGAATTAATGCCTCCTAAATAATGTTATTGTAATAAACAGCAAAAAAAAAACCAAAGTACATAAAATTCACATACAAGACAGGACACCCTTTGAACCAACAGGGCCTCACACCTACATTCAGGAAAAACCCTGTTGATGACTTCAAGATGTAGTCTTAAAGTTAACCTAAACATTTGCTAAAGGAACTAGGGGAATTTACAGCATGTCTGGATCTGATGTCAAAGACATTCAGGGAAAACTCCTGTTGACTTCAAGAGGTTCTTTTGAAAAACCCCAGTGGTCTTTGGTAGGCATTGGCAGCATGGTCTGGATCTGACATCAAAGACATTCAAGAAACCCCCCTGTTGTCTTCAAGTGGTAGTCTTGAAGTTAACATAAACATTTGCTATGGAACTTGGACATAAGCAGCATCATGGTCTGGATCCAACATAAAAGTTAAATATTTGCCAAAAAAAACCTTGAACATACTGTATGTAGCATGGTCTAAAGCCCCATTCTCGTGAAAATTTCAGTTGTTAAGAAAAGTCTGATTTTTATACATGTTATAAAGATTTATAAATACAATATGAAATTGCTAGTTTAACTGAATTTAGGCATTCCTAAACATGAAAAAAATGTAAAATAAGACTGAAATTTGAATTTTTGTGTTCCACAGAAAAAATAAACGAGGATGAATTTTTTATGTTTTGCGATAGGTCTGCGAAAGAAACAGTAGGCGCCGTAAACATTAGCTTATCAACACTGTTAGACATAAAAACAGCAGACATGATACTTTCCATTGCTAGTATTGACACTTTTGAAATATAATATTTCATTGGAATTATTTCAAATTTGTTAAAATAATGATTCTGACAGAGATTTTGACAATTAAACAAACATATTTCAGGCCTACTAAATCGACCGCAGTGTGCGAGATGCGAAGTACAAAAACTAATCTCATTAGAGAGGGTGCACTTTATTGACTGTATAAACACACAAGTGCGATCTACAACCTCTGAATTTGCCTAGTAACAAAGAACTGGTAATCTTCTTCTGTGAGAAATAGTCTATTTCTCTTTTTTTTTCCTTTTGTGCAGAACTAAAATTTATGCCAATATTTTTCCATGGTTTATAATAATTACAGTAATTATGCATTTTTTCTAAAAAAATTTTTTTAGTAAAATTTTGCCATTTTAAGCCATACTTCACACATCATCTTTAATAACTCCAGGTTCCTCCTCCACAAGATTGTAGTATTTGGGTTCTACTTTCATAGGCTGTACTTTATTTAATCTTTCATAGGCTGTACTTTATTTAATTATCTATGTGCTATTATCTATGTACCAATTACAGGAAAACTTCTAATTGGTCAAACAATGCACAAGATCTGAAACTTTGGAAAAGCCATGCTGAGGTCTTCATCCAGCAGTGGATTGACAATGGCTGATAAAGTAAAGTAAAGTGCGTGCGTGCTATTAATTTTTCAATGTAAGGTCCACACACAAGAAGAGTATAAAGAATACTCAAATATATATATATACACGGTATATATACTTTCAGTTCTCAAATGCCAAGTTTGATTACAAAAAGGAAAGAATTTGTCTTTGGAATGACTTAGGATTCGTAAGATGAAAGTGAATTATTAATGAAATCTGAATGACATAGATGATAAAAAAAAATGATATCAAACAGACTAATGGGACACTTATCAATATTACAAGAATTTACTCCACGACCCTCTGCTGTTGTCACCATGAGGCATGGTAAACATACAGTATCCAGGGAGTCTGAAAATTTTTCCCCACGCAATAAGAAAATGATGAGTGTTCTTCCGGAATATTACAAGCGGCGTCATGATTTATTTTCGCAATACATATATAAACACTGCAACCGAAGAATGCCAATATGAAAACATAGCCAGTGCAAAATAACTTTTGAAATCTGCTTTAGCCTAACCAATTCTGACATATTTGACAGACTTGTGAATCCTATAAGGTAGTTGTCAGATACCAAGATAAGTTTTCAGAATGATATGCAAATTGTGAATGAAAAAAGGGAAAAAATATAGAAAAATGATTTGATATGACAGCAGGTATTTTAGCCATACATGAATCTCTATTTTTCCCTTTAAATTTATTCAATGTATTTATTCAATTCATTTGTGCATGTTAATAAATATTTCTTGTTCAATTTTCTGTTGTTTCATTTTCATTCCAGTTCTATCCAAACTATAAAATGTTATGCGAGAAATACATCATACCTATATACGGATGAGATATGACATCATCATGCCAATGTCGTTGTGGAATGATCTGAACATGTATACCATGAAGCGCCCCTTTACGGCCGCTAGGAAATCACAGGCCACGCCCATATGCAATTCATCACAATGACAATGCAAGTTATGGATTACTACCTTTTTATATGGATGAGATATGGCATCAACATATCCATATATGGATGGGATTTGACATCATCCTGCCCATATATAGATGAGATATGACATATCATGCCCATATATGGATGAGATTTGACATATCATGCCCATATATGGATGAGATTTGACATATCATGCCCATATATGGATGAGATATGACATTATCATGCCCATATATGGATGAGATTTGACATATCATGCCCATATATGGATGAGATTTGACATATCATGCCCATATATGGATGAGATGACATCATTATGGCCATATATGGATGAGATTTGACATATCATGCCCATATATGGATGAGATTTGACATATCATGCCCATATATGGATGAGATTTGACATATCATGCCCATATATGGATGAGATTTGACATATCATGCCCATATATGGATGAGATTTGACATATCATGCCCATATATGGATGAGATTTGACATATCATGCCCATATATGGATGAGATTTGACATATCATGCCCATATATGGATGAGATTTGACATATCATGCCCATATATGGATGAGATTTGACATATCATGCCCATATATGGATGAGATTTGACATATCATGCCCATATATGGATGAGATATGACATATATCACATATATTTGTCACATAAAATTTGATAGTGTAGACAGAGCTTTAATGAAAATGAAACACCTAAAAATTAAACAAGAAAATATTTTCTGCACAAATTATTCATGAGTGGAAATTAAATACCAAATTATGATGCGATAGGCAGCTTATACTGATTAATTGAATTCATTACTCGTTAAGCTCACAAGGACCCCGGACACATTATATGTAAGAGCCTTGCACAAGGTCCTCATAGTTATTTTCTTATAGAGTCTCTACTATCAAGTAGGTATAAGTAAGTAAAAAGTGAATTGATTTGAGACATGTTTCAAGTTGAATGACATTTTAAATCCCTTTAAATGACCAATGCAATGTTTCAATAAAATGATTAAAATTTGCCCGATTTTATTATCGACAATATACATTCGATAGCTATACCTTCCAGTAACCAATCAACTTTGAGCTTAGATTTGATATGTTCTAAATCATAAATCATAAGCACCAGATAATTTAAGTCACTTAAAATGTAAAGAACAGGGTGACTTTATGAACAGCCCATAGCAATTATCTTAACTTATTCTTAACCCTATAATGCATGTATTAAACAAACCTAGCAAATGGAACTTAATTAAAAGAAAGGCATAAATCAATTCAGGATGTGCTACCTAAAGCTTGATCGTGTGAAGAATACTTAAGATTCAGCGAAATGGCTCGTAATTTATGTGTGTGATGTCTCAGTGGTTAAACCAACATCACAAGAATTCCGATTACAAGGTTAACATCAGAAAAATGTGAAATGAACTAAATGTGATGGAGGAATACAGAAGTTTATATAATTTAAGTTGTATATTAGAATCATGTTTTCCATTATTTCCTATCATTGTTTCAATAACATGTAAGTTGCAAATGTGGACATGTGAGATCAGTATCTGTGTATTGAAAAATTAAATAATAGAAATAAATTTGAAATGGCTTAATGATTGAATGATTTTTTAATTACTTAGGTTTGTTAGTTTTACACGATAGTATAATGGAATAATGATTGAGTTTTAGTGATTTGCCAAGTGCTACAATTTGTTCAGCGCTACACACTGAAGATGAAAGTAGCAAGAAGTCTGCTGAAGCATGAAGAAGAAATCAAACAGCATTCTAACCAAACCATCAGTACTCACAGACAAGAACGATCTTCATCTGAGACAACACAGACACCCCCATTTAGGCAAAAGCAATCATTCAAATAAATGGTGATGTGCTCACACCGCGGTCCTTCAAAACCAGTGGGACATCTGCCAATCAAAATATACGCTCAGCCATCCATAAACATGGTAAACTTCAAGATACACATGTAAATTCCATGGTACATGTGGTGAATTTTGTGGTCACATGGTTCAATGTTATGGTACACATGGTAAATTTCATGGTACACATTTGTTAATTTTCTAAACACATTAAAATTTATAAACAAATTGATAAAAGAAGAAAATGGATTTTATAATAAGTCACAAAATGTACACAAAAATACTAATGAACAATTACTAAACATAGCTTTGATATGCATGACTGATCACAAAAAGTGAACAAAAAAAATTAAAGCGACTTCAGCACAATGATTTGTAACTAGTTTATCAACATGAACATTTTCCAACCAAAACACACTGAAAAAAGTTTGAAAATTTTAAGAATCCAATCAAGTATTTAATAAAGAATTTAAGAAACATGAAACAATCAACAAAAAAATGCAAGGATGTTCACACACATTTTTATAGTGTTCTACAAATCCAAAGCAATCATCAGTTTTTTAAATATTCAGATTATAACAGTTATGAATATTTATTAACTGATGAATATTCATTAACTAGTTAGACAAGAAAACTTATAAACATGCCAAATGTCAGAATGTGACAGTTAAAAGTATTAAATATTAGATGAATATGCATGAAAGTGAATTACATAACAACAACAAAAATGCTTGCACACTTTCTTTTGCATGTCCAAAAAGATAATTTAAATAAACGAATGAATATTCATTGTCATTTAAATAAGGTCTAATGAATATTCATTAGAAGATTGAAACCCTCATTATCCCCCACAGCTTTGCACTGTCTGCCCAAACGCTAAAGAAAGAGAGACGGGCACTCCTGCCTGCTTCAGGTTTTAAACCTTTCCCTTTACCTCTACCTTAACCTTAATGGTTCTTTTTAACAAGTAATGTTTTCAAAACCGCAGTCTTTGATGTGAATTACAAAATTTAAAGTAATGGTTTCCAGAACGGAGGTCTTTGATATAGAAAGAAAGAAGGAAAAAACAACGAAAGAAATTTCCTCTTAAACAAAAAAATTAATTTAGTAGTTATTATAAATATACAGTATAAGTTTTTTTTCCATAAACACTAATTGATAAAAAAAATAAGAGATTAGTAAATGATGCAATAGCATGTTAAATCCAGAATGATGATATGGAAGAGACCTACATTCAGTGGTTAAGGCAAGAAGCAACATAAAATTATATAAAGCAGAGTGACACATGCATAAATGCCAAAACACATTGTTGCAAAATATGAACAAACATAGGGGTACATTTAGCATAAAAATAATATCATTTAGTAATACTTTGAACAATAGATACATGAAAATACTTATTTATATTTATTATTACAATATCAAAACATCTTAATAAACTATAAAAAATGAAACCTAATATACTATTAAATAATACATTGAAATGTTTATTAATATTCATGATCACAATATAAAAACAACTTAAAAAATATTACTAATGAAACCTACTATATTCTATTTATTTAAATTATCCATTTTACTTTAATTGAAACTATCTATTTTACTTTACTTACAAACAAAGATGAGTGTCTGGAGCACTGATAAATTCATAACATGTCCCTTGGTTAAAGCAGTAACCACTTTTGTATTTTTCGTCTGTGCACATCCGCAAATGACTATTTGTTGGTGTTGTTGTTATCTCATCTGGAAAACAATGTTATTTTGGGAATTCTAATAAATTGGAAAGCAGATGAGTGAAGAGATATAAACGACAAGGGAAGAAGAGAAAAGAATGAAAGGAGAAATGAGAAGCAAGAATAAAGAAGAAATGGAAAAAATGAAAAGTACTGTAAGAATATAAAACTAAGAAAAAAGAGAGAAAATAGGTAAGAAAGAGATAAAGAAAATTAGAAGGAGAGGGAATGAAGAATTACTGGGAAAAAGAGAAAAAATAAACAGAGTGAAGATAAGAGAGAGAAGACTGAGAAAGGAGAACTAAGAGAATGAAAAGTTTGGAGATAAGATGAGGGCTATAAAAGAGAAGTGGATGATGAACAAAGGAGATGGATGGCAGAATAGGGAAGAGGAAAGAAATAAAAGAGAAAAATTAGAGAGAGAAAGCTAAATTAAGAAGAATGTTTGATTACATTAAAAAACAGCAATGAGGAGAAAAGAAAAAAGATGACAGAGAAGAAAAAGGAAATGAAGAAGAAATAAATTTTATCCAAAGCAATTCATTTTAACATCAACCTGAGGGAAATCAGTTCTATCAAAACATTTTTTAATGACATAATTATATTGAATAATAGCTCTGTCAGAATATAAAATAATTCCTTACCATCGCACAGAGCACCCCTATAGCCCTTGTCGCAAACACATTGGCAATCTTGCGTATTCAATTGCCCGTGTTCTCCACAATTTAAATCACAATCCTTAGTTCCGCAGTTATTTCCAGAATATCCCTCAGGGCAGCTGAAAAATGGAATTACTATGTTAAAAAAATTGAATGAGTTAGGTTAATGGGTTTAAGGCTAACAGGTCAGGACTAATAGGTGGTAATTGTTATTAGTTAAGGTTAACCCCGCACCCCCCACCTCCCCTTAAAAAAAAATAAAAATAAAGAAAGAAAAAGACAAGACTGATTGCCCAAAACGCCTCAGAAGTTATTTTCAGGCGTCTAGAACACAAACACAGACCCCATAGGGTAGTGTTATCTCGATCGGCCCCTCTTTTGGTCCCCCTTTCGGACATCTCTGGATCCGCCCCTGGATAACATTAACAGGTAAAAATTAACTACATTTAACCACTAAAATATAATGGGTAGGAATACTGTTACAGAGTAATTTGGAAGTTTAAATGGGTTAACATAATAATAAGACTTTAAGGTTATCTAGTTTGGAGATTTGGTATAATAAGTAGAGTTAATAGATACTGAGTAATGAGTAGGGTTAATAGGCATGAAGTAATGGGTAGGTTTATTGGGTATGGAGTAATAGGTAACCTAACCTGAGCTAGTCGAATGGCTGAGCGGTTAATGCGGGGCACAGTAACCATAGCCAAGGATACCAGCACAGGTTTGCGGCTGCCTCACTCCTAGTTCTGGTGGTAGAACAAGACTAAGGACTAAGGTGGTGGATAAGGACTATAAACTGTAGGCCTAGCATACACAAATGCTCATTTGTACTTCAAAGAACCCTGTACATCTTCAAGACGAGTACGGGTTACCCCGATGTACTGGTCCACTTGGCCCATGTCGTGGACAAATGAAAGTATGCCGGTTTACCAGCTGCAGAGGACATGAAGTGACCCTCAGGGGAGAAGAAAGTTATTGAGAAGTGCAACATCTATCTACAGCACCACGAGCAATAATTGTTGGAATGGCACCATATAAATGGAACGATTTGATTTGATTTTTTTAAATTTTGATTTTAATTAAATAGAAGTTTTTTTTTTATTTAAGATTTTTAACGAAAGTTAGAAGAAACTTTATTTATACCATTTACATTTAAGGGCAATTTTACTTGGTGTTAGGCATAATTAGAAACACTATATTCCGTCCTGTAATAGTTTGAGCAGAACAAAAGAGATCTGCCAGAAAGAAGGACACAAATACTTACTAGCAGACTTCAATGACAGTTACATCTGTCGTTGTCATACAAGTTCCACCATTGAGACAAACATCTGGCCTACTACATGGTTTTTCATCTTTTTCTGTTGGATAATTGCACATTGTGTATGATTGATCATGTATCCAATGACCAGCAGTTCTCTGGATATATATGTTACATAAATCATATTAGAAAAATAAAATAAATAAATAACTTTATCTTACACACTATGAAATATTTGTCAGATCTGGTCAGATGTAGCAATGTTGGATCAAACTTTGTCTGATAATCAGTATGCCTGCTTCAGTCACATATAATCAAATATCAAGTGTTCCTCTAAGGCTGTCATAAGTCAAACAATGCTCTGCCAGACAAAACTCACCAAACCAAGTAACATCCTTCATGCATATTGCTGTTAATAGTTGTACTTCTTTGCAGCCACAACATGTAGGTTGCGGAATGGTGCCAAGTGTCCACTGTCACATTATTTCATATATTTTTATACTTACTGTCACAAGTCCGTCCGGTGTACATCAGTTCACATGTACAGTTACAATTTTCTGAGTCAAGCTCGCCATGTTCGCACTCCAATAAACAAGGTGCGGGAGTCTCATCTTCTGTGCAGTACTCCCCCGAGTAATATTTATCACATTTGCATGTACAACTATAAAAAAAGTCATATAAATACGGATACATATATATTTATATTTGAACAAATGTAATTGATAATTTATTCAGAAACTCAGTTAGCACAAGTTAATTCATAAAGATTGAGAGAAAGACGAGTAGAAGGAAATGAATACTCTGGATGGACCTTCTACAGAAATGGAAAGAGGAGTAAAAGACCAGACTAATGCTGATGGAGGCGGCTATAAACAGGGTTGTGGAACCAGTGGCGTATCTAAAAGTCTTGAAAAGGGGATGATTGGGGGAGGGGTGCAAAGGTGAAGTGGGGAGCCTCAATATTTACATAAGAAGGTGTTGGCTTGCAAAATAAGGACATATGAGGTGATTTTTATCTATTTGAGCAGTTTTCTGCTTCAATCATTTTTAATGGGGGACGACTGGGGCGCAATGTTTTTTTAGGGGGCATGAGCCTCCCTGCGCACAGCTAGATACACCACTGTATGGAATAACATGTGATCACCCAGATCAATAGATAAGGCACCTAGTGAGTGACTGTTAGTAACTATTTTATTATTATGTGATTAAGGCTAGCCGTAGTAGGTAACTTTAATGTAATGAAAATTTTCATTCAAACTAAATATTTTTTCATTACTATTATTATCAAATTCATGTTAAAAAATGAAAATACAAAATGAAATGCTCACCTCGTTTCATTGAGTGTTCCATAATCTCCACAAGACATTCCTTCGCAGACTGGTGGCGGTTCTGTTGTTACAATGTCTGAACTTTCGCAGAAGTCTCCTTTGAATCCATCGGGACAAGCGCAGTTACATTTCTTTGGATTCAAGGTTCCTCCGTTGTCACAATTTACTGCACAAACACCTAAAGCGGGAGGAAAAAAAACAAGCATAAATATATGGTATTAGAAGAACAGTTAATCAAACTACCAACCAATATGCTACACTACTATACTTTAATGTACTATATTCATTTGATAATAAAGGATCATATATTCCCTATCCTTTAAAAATCTTAAAAACCTCTTAAACATTACTTATCTACTGTTTGTTGTTTCTTAAAGTCTTATAATAATGCTGTATAGTCAGTTTAATATATTTTAATGTCTTGTTTTATGTGTCTTGAAGTTTTATGATAATGTAACAATAATAAAGGCGCTGTCAGGTTTTGTCTGTGATAGCAATTCTCATGTAATGTTTATTATATATTTATGATGAATAACGAATAATCTGAATCAAAATCTGAATCTAAAACAATGATTTGTTTATATAAATGGATCTAATGACCCACATACAAATTTACAGACTTTTATATAATACACTAATCATGTGTCTATTGATCAGCAAAAAAAAAAAAAAAAAATTCATTGTAATTTAAATTTGAGAAAAATTTAAACCAAGTACAAAGTAAGCAATTATTAGCAAGTATTAATATGCTGTTCAACCTCATAAGATGAAAACTGGGAGTTTTTAAAAGATATTTTTATGTTTTTATTGTGGTTTTATAATCTCCATTAACAATAGACTTAACATGGTTAATCTTTCAAAGATTTCCTTTTATAATTAATAATGAGCCATAAAATTCAGATGTATTGTAAGTTTAATGTCTGTCATTGCTATAAGCACCTGATTCCAAATTTTTACCATATCATGTTTTATTGTCGACAATAAATATTCCTTGATTCCTTGGTGATTGAAACTGATTTAGCCATGTACAGGGCCACATATACTATTATTATCTTTCAGAATTTTCATCTTCTATTCATTGTTTTTATCATTGTTAATCATAGCCAGTAATGTGAGACTTAACATGAGACTTAACATGGTTAATCTTTCAAAGATTTCCTTTTATAATTAATAATGAGCCATAAAATTCAGATGTATTGTAAGTTTAATGTCTGTTATTGCTTAAGCACCTGATTCCAAATTTTGACCATATCATGTTTTAATGTCGACAATAAATATTCCTTGATTCCTTGATGATTGAAACTGATTTAGCCATGTACAGGGCCACATATACTAATATTATCTTTCAGAATTTTCATCTTCTATTCATTGTTTTTATCATTGTTAATCATAGCCAGTAATGTGAGACATTTCGCTTTCAACTCTTGAAACACACATCCGGCTAATCAATTGTTAGCACGTTTTAACTTGCCGCTTTGACAAAAACAAACAATTTGGAGTGCTGTCTTCACAGTTGAGCGATACCAAGCTAAAGGTACCACTTGAAAAAAATCAATTTAAATGTGTCATATGCATGTACAAAATGACCTGCATATTAAATCAAACAGGTACGCTGTAAACATAAAATTGGGAGAAGCCAGGCAACTAAAATGCAAACAAAAGTAAACATCCTTATTGAAATCAAACAAGTAAAAATACTTATCAAATTT